TGTCAGATCGGGTGTTTTTTTTTAAAACATATTAGAGAAATCAACCCTTTATCTCTCATATATATAAATACCTTTGAGTTCCTTATTTGTCTTTGGAATTTCTTCCTCTGGTTTTTACAGAAAATTCTAATATTCAAGATATTTTGACCCAAATGTTTTGACCTCATAGATGTGTTTACCAAAAGACTATTTTGACTGGGTTTTGAACCCAGTAATTTTTATCAGAATTACACTAGTCTAATACATCAAGACAGAGTTTTCTTGAGCAAGCTGCATGAAGACAATTTCTTTGATCAGTTATTTTATGCCAAAGTTAAAATCTTTCTAATGTTCCCTATTTTATTTTATTTTATTTTATTTTATTTTTTTAAAAATATATTTTATTGATTTTTTTACAGAGAAGAAGGGAGAGGGATAGAGAGTTAGAAACATCGATGAGAGAGATCGATCAGCTGCCTCCTGCACGCCCCCCACTGGGGATGTGCCCGCAACCAGGGTACATGCCCTTGACCGGAATCGAACCCGGGACCCTTGAGTCCGCAGGCCCACGCTCTATCCACTGAGCCAAACCGGTTCGGCATAATGTTCCCTATTTTAAATTTAATCTTACAAAGTAATATTTTCATGACAATCACATGGCTTCACGGAGTAAGTGCTACCAGGACTGTTTTATTCTTTTCTCAGTCATTTTTAGCTCACATCTGATTTCACCAGTTTCCTGCCATTGTGCGTCATCTACTCTGTTCATTATCTTCAATTGGTCCAATTTTTTCCAGGTCACATTTGATTATCTAAATGTCAAATTTTCATTCTGTTTGAATTTCAGTCAATTTCCAACTTAACATGGTCAGTTTTAGTTTCTGCCAACTTGATTTTGTGTTGGTTATTTCTACACCTCTGTGGTAGGGTGTATTCTTTACTCATAATTCTGCCTTCCTCCCCACACTCTCCATTTGCATTTGGTTGGAGGACATTTTTTTGCCCATCGATGTTGGGCTTGCCTGTGGGCGACCCCTGTGAAAGATGACCACAATGCTTCCATGTCAAAGCATCTCACATCTTATGTTGTGACCTTAATGTTTTCCCATCAAGTCTCTGTGCTCTCCCTCTTGCATCTGAGTGGAACTTGGTGAGTGCCTTGACAACAGAGTTTAGCAGAAGTGACGCTATGTGTCTTTTAAGGCTAGGTCATAAAAAATGCAATACACTTCCCTCTTGCTCTCTTGGAACCAACCCACCACGCTTTGAGGGAGCCCAACTAGCCCGCACAGAAAGACCATCTGAGGATGCTGCAAAGAGGCGTTCTGGTTGACAGCCCTAATCCCTCATCCTTCAGAATGTGACACTATTTGAAGAGAGGACCTTTAAAGCAGTGATGAAGTTAAAATGAGGTCATTAGGGAAGCTCCTAGCCCACTCTGACGGGAGTCCTTGTAAGAAGAGGAAATCTGGATGCAGCAAGACTCCAGGGATATGCACACACAGAGGAACATGTGAGGATCGAGCCAGGGAGAGAAGTATCAGAAGGAACCAACCTTGCCAACACTTGATCTTAGACTTCTAACCTCCAGAATTGTGAGAAAATGTATTTCTGTTGTTTAAGCCACCGAATCTGTGGTATTTGTTATGGCAGCCGGAGCCACAGAAATACCAACCCACAGACTGGAACTAAACCTGCAGATCCCAGCAGAGCCTCAGCCAACACACACCACAGGCCCAGGAAAGATAAACAGAAATGCTCAAAGTTGTAAACCACCAAGCTTTGGGTTGTTTGTTACACAATATTACTGGCGGCGGGGGGCGGGGGGGGATTTTGGGGAGAGGGATTGACTTAGTACAACATTTAATTTTACTCTGGGCCAGTTTTGACAATTTTCTTTGTTGCTCACAACATGACTCCTTGGCAATTTATTAATCTAAACAAATTTTACTGCCTGCATATTTCAACATTTTAAGTTATGGCAAAACTGCTCCTGCTGCTAGCAAAGCATCAGGGTCTGGGTCAAAATATACTACCGGGCATTTCCATAGTTCTCACCTCATTAGCTTCCGACTGGCTGTCCCACCCACCAGGCTAGGAAACCTGGAGGTCAAGGCTCCTGTGTGCTTCCCATTTGGGTCCCCAGCATCTCTTGTGCTAAGATAGTGACTAATTAATGAATCCCTCGTGCCAGCAAGAGCCTAGGACCGAGGCAGCTGCCTCTCTCAGATAAAAATTAAATGGATGTCCAAGGCTCCCCATATTCTGGCCTCAACAGACTCCCCTAGCTTCCCTGCTTTCTCCCTACTTGTCCCTTCAGTAGAGGCAGCAGAGACCCCAAGGCCCTGTATGATTCTCCTACTTTCCTATCGCCCCTTGTCCACCTCTGCCTCCCCCTCTGACAGCCCTGTGGCTCCCTGTATTTCCTCCGTCAAGCATGGTTCTCACTACCACAGGGCTTTTGCACATGCTTTTTTCCTGACTCGAATGCTGTTCCACCACCTATTTCATCTAGCTTACACCCAGTCATTTTTCTCTCTCAGGTCTGAGGACACTTCCTCAGGGAAGCCATCCCTTACTGCTTCGGATTGAGTCAAGTTCCCCCAGTCCCTGTTGGTAAGTCCAAGCACCACGTGCCTCCCCTTTTTAACACTTATTTATGCTATACTTTATTAGGGTGACTGTCTGATCAATGCTGAGTCCCCATCGCAGACTTTCAGATTCATGAGCACTGGAATAAGGTCTCATTCACTCTGTCCCCAGAGCCTGGTACATAGTAGAAGCACCTTAAGTATTTGTTGGCTGAATGAATACAGGGTGAGCAATAGTAGGTTTACAGTTATGAGTACGTGAAACAGAGTTTATTCTTGTAATATTATTTATTCTTGTATTATTTTCCATATGAACAACTGTAAGCCTACTTTTGCCCCACTGTGTATTGTTATCACAACTGCTCTTCTAGATCCCTCCATTGGCATCTAGGGTGTCCGTGGAGGTGTGGTGCTCAGATCTCTCTCCGAGAGAACCTGTGAGGTTCTGCTGCAGCCTTTTCACTGAGGCCACGGTCCCCTGGGCTGCTCTCAGCCCAGGACCGAGCCCAGTGGGCTCCTCTAATGGGCCTTTTGTCCCTCTGGGTCTCCCCATTGGCCACGACTTTCTCAGATTTGCTGCTCCAGTGGTCAATTTATTGCCTCTCAACTCCAAAGTCACCCTTTAGGATAACGATCTCTGAACATGGCCTCCTTTACAGGGAGATGCTGAACTCTGCCAGCAGAGGGTGCCGGAGGGGACATGTCTGGAGGAACGGCTGGGCTTGGCTTTCTGTCTCTGGGGTGTGTGTGTGTGTGTGTGTGTGTGTGTTCTTGCTCCTGCTGTGTGGTTGGTCAGCGGTGTGTGAGGACATCTGGTGGTGATCTGCCGCAGCCATGAGCCCGGTCTATCAGCCACCTTGCAGCCCCACGCCTGGGGACCATCTTCTTGCCGCCCTCCTAACTCAAGTAGACACCACACACTCTTGGCCTCACATCTACAAAGGTGCCCAAATTCCCCCACCCACCTGCCTCAGCGCCCTTGGGCCTCTGAGGACTGCTAACTGTCCTTGCCCAGTGACCATGGACCAGCTGGGGCCTAGTCAACCCAGCCCAGTTCTGTGCCAACTGGCAGGCTTCAACCACACCTTCTCCAATGAGGTCTGAACCCCAGTTTGGGAAGGCACCCCCTTCCAAATCTGTCCTTCTTGGGCATGCTCCCTAGGACACTCTTTAAAGTTATCTTTATATCTTTATAGCTATTCTCTTGTGTAAACTTAATAGGCCTTTAAACAGCCTCTATTAAATTACCGTCTCCTGGTTGGACTTAGATACAGTGCACAGAAGCGTTTCCTACCCAATCCTCCCTCCCCCACTCCCTCCTTCCACAGCGGTCAGGCCTGCGGCACAGTCTAAAGCAGCGGTTCTCAACCTGTGGGTCGTGACCCCTTTGGGGGTGGAACGACCCTTTCACAGGGGTCGCCTAAAACCATCGGAAAACACATATATAATTACATATTGTTTACAGCAGCAAAATTACAGCTATGAAGTAGCAACGAAAATAATTTTTTGATTGGGGGTCACCACAACATGAGGAACTATATTAAAGGGTCGTGGTATTAGGAAGGTTGAGAACCACTGGTCTAAAAGGTCTCACCACCCCCCCTTTTCCCTGTCTCCTTTATCCTTCACACGGGGGAACCCTCAACAAATCTCTGACATCTTTCATTCTTCCTTAGCACTGGCGGCTTCTCAGAGGATGCAGACTGATACAACTTCCCATCACACTTAGAATAAACTCCCATGAGGCTTTTATCATCTGCTTGCTAACCCAAGGCCAGCCCCCTCCCGCCCCTACCCCCCAACACACACCTTCCTGCTGCTCTCCAAGTCGCCGTGGGTGGCCTCCTTGCAGTTCCACAAACACACAAACCAGAACCCCACCTCAGTCTTTGCTCTTGCTGCTCTGTCTTTGATACAAGGCTTGTTTCCTCATTTCATTCGGACCTTCACCCACAATCCCCAGTCGCCCTCTAACTCCCCCTCTATCCTACTTTGTTTGGTTTATTTATAGCACTTAAAAACCAGGTCACCTGCTATATACTTACTTACTTTTCTGTCTCCCCCTGTAAAGAAACGTCTCCTCCATTGAGGCCAGAGCCTGTCCACTGCCGCATCCCCAAGGCCTGGATTAGTAAGCACCTGGCACACAGTAGGTACTCAATAAGTATGTGTTACTCAACTGAATAAAGGAGTGTCCTTGCCTTTGCTCAAGCCATTCCCTCCCCCTGGAATGCTTTCCCTCTCCTGCCTGCTTTCCTAATCCCTGCAAGACTCAGCCCTGGCCTCTGCTCCTCCAGGAAGCCCTCCCTGGCGAGCTGGGCTCTGAGCCCCGGGAGAGTGCTTGTTCTTGCCCCTCGGCTACTGTACTGCCTGATGTTAGGTAGAAGTAGGCTTTGTGGCAGGTAAAGACTGAGGCGGCGATGACAGGCAGAAGAGAACAGGCCAGCTTTATTGGGGTGAAAGAGGGGAGGGAGTGCTCCATAGGCTCCGGGCCGGGCCGGAGGAGAGCTGCCGGGGGAGTAGCCTGGGGCTGGGATGCAGGGTCACTTCTTCCACTCCTTCTTCTCATAGTCCCACCGGGAGGCCAGGCCTTGCACAGGGTTGCCCTTCATGTCCAGGATGCGCTGGAGCTGCTTGGCCTTCCACTCATCCGTCAGGGTGATGGGCTTCTCAGGGAACACTGCAGGAAGGCACGGGGTAGGGACAGGGCCGCCCTCTCCCTCTGAGCCAGGGTCCCAGTGACAGGGGAAGGGTGCCCTGCACGGAGGCGCTCCCTCCACCCTGTCCGTCTCCCCATCAGACTTCCTAAGCTGCACTCCACAGACTTCCGTGTTCTGACCCCAACTCTGCCTTCGATTCGCTGTGGGAACTGGGTCAAGGTCCTTCCCCTCTGAGCCTCAGTTTCTTCGCCTGCGATGTGGCCCAATGGGACGGGAGCACTGGGCTGAAGCCTGTCTGGATTCAAGTCCTAGATCTACCGCTCTCTTGCTGTGTGACTTTGAACAAGTCACTTTACCTCTCTGAGCCTCAGTTTCCTTATCTGTCAAAACCAGGTCCTAGCCACTAGGGATGCGGGGATTAAACGAGTTGCTATTTATAAAACGATTTGCATAATGTGGTAGCTACTCTAACCGTACTCAGTTTGCTCCCACTGTTTAGGAGGAATCCAGGAGGAGATGGTTTCTTTTCCTTCCTGAAGGGGGTTGGGAGTAGGAGGTAGGATAGAGGCGTTCCCTTTAAAAACCAGGGGAGGCCCAGCCAGGTAGCTTGGTTGGTTGGACATCATCCTCGTGAAAACGAAAAGGTTGTGGGTTTGATTCCTGTGGGGCGCCTATGGGAGGCAGCTGATCGATCGAGGTTTCTCTCTCTCCCTCTCTCTCTCAAATCAATAAAATCATATCCTCAGTTGAGGGTTTAAAAAAAAAATCTGGTGAGGACAATACTTAACCCAAAGGCTGAAGCACCCATGGGGCATTTTAGGTGCCTTCACGTGTGGAGCAGGGAAGGGCTGGGACCACAGCGTCCATCGCCACTCAAGTCTTACTGCACTTCCTGATCCATCTGCCCCCGAGGCTGACTCAGCCTGCCTGCCCTCCATCCCTGGTCCTTTATATCCCAGTGGGTGGGCAAGAAAGAAAAAATCTTTATGGGCACCTTTAAGTACCAAACATTGAGCTAGATTAGAATTTTTCCAAAGGCTCTCTCATTTCCTTCTTATGCAAGGTAGGAGTGCCCATCACACTTTTACAGTAGAAACAAGTGAGGCCACTAGAGGTCAACGGACTGCAGCTCTTCTTCAATATCCTCTCCCGTCCGCCAGAGCCTGCTTCTCAACCCCGGGAGCATCAGTCACCTGGAGGGCTGTGCAAACACCGACTGCTGGCTCCACCGTCAGGGGCTGACCCAGGAGATCCAGAGTGGGGCTGGGAAACTGTATTTCTAATAAGTTCCCAAGTGAAGCTATTGGTCCAGGAACCACACTTTGAGAATCACCCTTTTATAGTAATACATGGTCAGCTGGGTATAGGACAACCCTGCTAAAGACTACATTTCCCAGTTTTCCTTGTGGCTACATGTGGTCATATGATCATTTCTAGCAAATAGAATGTGAGCAGAAGTGGTGTGTGCAACTTCTGGACCTTAAAAATGAGTGCCTCCTCCCTTCCCCTCTTCTTTACTGGAATGTAGGCTAAAGGCTGGAGCAGGAGTAGCCATCTTTTTAAAAAATATATATATATGTTTATTGATTTCAGAGAGGAAGGGAGAGGGAGAAAGAGATAGAAACATCAGTGATGAGAGAGAATCACTTACTGGCTGCCTCCTGCACACACCCCACTGGGGATCGAGCCCGCAACCCAGGCATGTGCCCTTTGCTGGAATCGAACCTGGGACCCTTCAGTGCACAGGCTGATGCTCTAGCCACTGAACCAAACCAGCTGGGGCTAAAAGTAGCCATCTTGTATGTCAAGAAGAAAGCTACATGTTAAGGATGGCAGAGCAACAAGGCGCAAGAAGCCTGACATTGTGGAGTCCCCATACTTCCTATGGCCTTTTTGTGAGACAAGAGCAAAACCTTTATTTTGTTTAAGCTCGAGTATGTTGGGGGCTCTGTCACAGCAGCTGAAACAATGTACTGAAAAATTCATGTTTGCCCGGCCAGCATGGCTCAGTGGTTGAGCATCAACCTATGGGGACCAGGAGGTCACAGTTCAATTCCCGGTCAGGGCATATGCCCCTGTTGCGGGCTCTATCCCCGGGCGGGGGTGGGGGGGTGTAGGTGCATGCAGAAAGCAGCCGATCAATGATTCTTTCTCATCATAGGTGTATCTATATTCCTTCTTCTCTGAAACCAATAAAAATATATTTAAAAAAAAACAAGAAAAATTCATGCTTAATAACAGCCAACTGAAATGTGGCTTCTTCTGGATGGCCCTCCAGGGTTCCTTCTCTCTCTCCTTTGGGTTTTCACAGATGCTTGAACACACCTCACTCTGGCCGCGTATCCAGCATTGCAGTAACAACATCACTCATAACTACAGATGACCTACAGCTCTTTCTCATTCCAACCTCACAAGAGCCCTGAGATGTGGGCACTATTATTCCCATTTTACAGATGGGGCAATTGAGGCCCAGAGAGGTAGAGTCCCTACATTCCCACTCAGACAGCTGTGCTCTGCCCTTCCCCCTCCGCCTCTTTGGGGGACTTTTCAAAATCTTTAGATGAGTGCCAGCACATAGTTCCCTTATAAGAGCTTGGCTGCTGGCTGTGGCCACAGGGCATGGCCCAGGGCAGCAGTCAGGTGAGATGCTGCAACTCACCATAGACCCGCTGCCACCAAATAAGCAGAGCGGTGAATCCACAGAAGAAGAAGACACAGCCGATCACTGTCTTCCACTCATTGGAGCGATGATTCATCTCCGCGAAGGTCTCATGGAACTGGAGCCGGTACACTGAGGAAGCAGGTAAGGGGGGGACGCTCAGGTGCAGCCATCCCAAGGGCCCCCAGCCTCCCCCTCCCTGCAGCAGATGCTGTCCATCCAGAAAATTCTTATCAAGCATCTATTGTATGCAAAGCAGGGTCTGGAACTGGTAGCCCAGGGCACTTCTGGTGGCCATAACTTGGAGTCACACATCCCCCCCTGCCCCTCAAGGTCAGGCCCCTGCTCCCCCATCCACCTCACCTGCCTCTCTCTGCTCTGTCCCCTCACACTACTCACTCAGTGCTGCCAGAACCCTCCATGCTCTCCTGCCCCCCTATCTTTCCCCATGCTGTTCCCACTATCTAGCAGCACCCTCCTCCTCACCATTCAGGGCCAGCTGGAACGGGCCTTCCTCTGGATGGCCCTCCAGGACGCCATCTCTCTCTCTCTCTCTCTCTCTTAGGTCCTCACAAACACCTGAACACCCCCCCCCCCCCCCAGCCACTATCCTGCATTACAGCTATCTGGGTTGGTGTCCGTTCCCCCACTGGACGGGGAGCACCCTGATGGCCGGAACCATCTGGGGGATTCAGTCCTGTGTCCCCAGCATCCTCTAGCATCAGGCTATGCACAATAGTTGAGTGAATAAAAAGAATGAACAAATGAATAAAATTCTCCCCTTGGGTATGCGTTCAGGTGTTTGGGGTTTTTGGCTGTTGTGGGTGGGGGCTCGCCCGTCCCAGTGCTCCCTGATGGGCCCTTCTTTGCAAAGCCACCGCCAGCCCACTCTCCCCAACCAGTCCCACCCGGAGACCTACAGGCCACCTTCTCGGCATGGCTCAGCTGGGTCCAGCTGCCCTTCTCCTTCTCCTTCAGCGCCCGCTGCTCGGCGCTGAGCTCTGTGCAGAAGGGGTCGTCTGGCATGGGGTAGGAGCGCTGGGCATGGTAGTTGGTGTAGGGGGCCGTCTTCCCCTTGCTGTGGGCTGTGGGTACAAGGAAGGAGCTGAGTTCAGGCTGCCCCTGGGACATTCCAGCACGAACCCTAATATTAATAGAGAGGGTTGCATTTACTGAGCACTGACTGTGCCAGGAGCCATTCTAAGGCCTTCAGGTAAGTTGACTCATTTACTCTGCATCACTCTGAGCCAGGTGATGCTGTTACCTCCATTGTACAGATGAAGCAACAGAGCAGCAAGTGACTTGCTAAAATTCACAGAACCAGGAGGACCAGGGCCAGGGCTGCCATTCAGCCCCCCCCACCCCCACC